AGTGTTGGGAATGACCCCCCTAACCCCCTCCCAACTCCCCCAGACCCATATATATATATTAAAAAAAAAAAAAAAAAAGTTCGCATTTGGTCGTTTTCCGACCCGTTCGCGTTGGGCGACCGAATGCGAACAGCATGCTACGCAGCCTGTAGTCAGTATCCTCGCAGATGACCGCCCCGTGCGGATCGAGGAGTACATAGAGGGAGTCGAGGTGTACTTTCGCCTAGAGCAAGAAGGGAAGGTAGAAAAGGTCCTCCATTCCCTGACGTAGTCATGGAAGACGATCTCCCATTCGACATAGTACTTGGTACTGATTGGGGAGGCAGTCGTGGCCACATTGCACCTTAGAGAGCATGAGTGCAGGCTCCCTAGTCCTGCAGGTGGGATGTTCCATGTGTTAAGGAACAAGCCTTTGTAGCCTATGTTAGGCAAGTTTCTGAACCACCAAAGAAGGAGAGAGAAAGAGATCCATCCCACTATTGCCAGTTTGCTGAAGAGTACAAAGATTTATCTGAGGCACCCTCAGGGGTAGTGCCAAGACCCATTCAGCACAGCATAGAGATAGAGCCTGGCAGTGGAACACCTAAGGGGCAGAATGTCTCCGAAGGAGTTGGAGGAGTTGCGTAAGAAGTTAGACGAGCTCCTCGAGAAAGGATGGATTAGACCTAGCTCATCTCCTTTTGGTGCACCTATTTTGTTTGTCCCCAAGAAAGAGGGAGAACTACAGAAGTCTGAACGCCATAACCGTTAAAAATGCAGAATTGTTGCCCCACGTAGATGATCCGTTAGATAGGGTGGACAGCCGCAAGTACTTCACCAAGATAGATAGTTAGGATATCATCAGATAGAGGTACATCTTGATGTTCAGCACAAAACCGCGTTTCGGACCAGGTATGGGCATTACGAGTTCATAGTGATGCCCTTTGAACTAACCAATGCACCAACCTCATTCCAGCACCGCGTGAACAACTTATTCGGAACGTGGCTTGAAACGGTATTCACCAGTTCGCAGTAGCTGATGCAGATCCCAGGGCTCGATCCCTAGGCCCTACCTTACCTGTGTACAGTATCTTTGTCGACCCCTGGAGTTGAACCTACGACCTGTGTATTTGTAACAGTTGGTAGGTTGTCGTAGTGTCTATAGGTAGCCGGGGTTCGATCTGTAGACCTGTCGAGTAGGAGCCTTAGTCAGGTCTAGAAGTCGTAGCTGTAGCTTTCCCGAAAGGTCAACGTCGTAGCTGCTACAGTCCAGAAGGGTCAAGTCGTAGCTGCTACAGTCACGAAAGGCCAAGTCTACGGCCTTCCGAAAGGTCCCAGTAGTGGCCTTTCGAAGTTGCCCACGTTTAGACTGAGGCAAGTGGGCAAGTGGCGAGGCAAGTGGTGGAGTCTATACCCGTGCTGAGTCAGCAGTCCCAGTCCTAGGCAGTCCTGGTCCAGTCCAGCAAGTACCGCATGGGACTGTGTGCACTTCGGGTATGGGAAAGGGCCAGACCAACGCACTGCAGAAGAATAAATCAAGAGGCAGCACCCAGCCATTCATTCATTCCTGCGGAAGCCATGCGGAAGCGCTGCCTCGGTGACTTGTGCGAGGTGGTCTGCAGAGGAGCCTGAAGTCGAAGTGGGCTAGAGGGAGTTAGCGCAGCCATAGCTGCTTGTAGAGTAGAGTTAGCTAGCGGCCATAGCTGCCATAGTTAGTAGTAGGTGTGCATTCGTGTGTGTGCAGAGTGTGTGCGTGGGGTATCCAGGGTGATCCAGAGTTGAAGTGTGAAGTGAACAGTGGTGTTGGACACAGTGACGAGAGTTGCAATGTGTGGGTGCTGATGCACCATAGCCTATTGAAGCGAGCTTGCATCTGAACTGTGTCTTGGTTTCCATATCTTCAAGCTTTGAGTTGGGCGCTAGGCGCCGGAGTGATTCACCATCTGTTTGTATGCATGTGGAGTGACGAAATATGCGAGTCTGATTGCACTGGTATCGGAGCTGGTACCCCCTACTCCACGCATCATCGCCGCCGTTGTACCAGGAGGGAGACGCGTCGGCGCCATAGCTGAGGTGTGCCACCCCTGAAGAAGAAGTCCGCCATAGCTGCGCTGCGGAAGAGAGTGACGCGTACCTGCACAGAGGACAACAACGAAGAGAGAGAGAGAGAGAGAGAGGGGCTGAGCGATACAAGATTGGGTTACCACGTACCTGCTGCATTGAAGATTGGTTGTGCGGTCCACGAAGAAGTAGCGGCCATCGCCGCAGAGCTCGAAACACGGAGGAGAGAGGGGAGAGAAGCAGGAAGGAGGAAGAAGGGAAAACGAAGGTGAAGACAGACATAGTCGAGGGTGAACAAAAAAAAAGAAAAAGAGAAACAGTGAGAAAGAAGAAGGGTGAAGGAGGAGAAAGAGAAGGGAGAGTGGCGAGGAAGAAGGTGCCGGCAGCCATAGGCGTTGACCGGAGCTGCTGATCACGATTTTGACCAAGCTGGAGTTGTATAAGCTCGCCGAGCCCGCAGCCTATCCCCTCGCCCTATGGATATGCACTCACCTTATGGTACTTGCTGAGTCTGAGTCTGTATGTCTCTTCTTTCTGCATTGAGTCTCTTATGTCCAGGTGATAGGACTCCGCGTATGAAGGATAGGGCTTCGTTGACCAAACCACTGCCGGCAGAGTAGGGCTAAAGACTGTGTCTGACGACTCTACTATCCCGAAGGCCTAACCCTCCCAAGGACCGGTACTGACCGGCGGGCTGCTCGGTGTGGCACGGTAGGCCCAAAATCTGAGTTGTGGGCTGCACAACGGGCCGTCTACGTCTTGAGAGAACCTGCTGATTGCGTCGTCCTATCTGCGACGTTAAAGAATTCTTGAGGAGTTACGGGGGATCTCCTTAAATGCCTCCTGATCAGCAACAAGTTTTGTAGTGACGGCTGTAGTATTAGAGTCTAGGCTAGTGCCCCTAGTTGACAGGGTCTGAACCGGAGTGAAAGCTAGGTAGGCTTGACCGCAGGTGTTGGGCATGTGGTCTGGATTGCAAGGAATGTGGTTGCGAAAGCTTCTGTCGGCCGTGGTAATCTGGCTAGAACGAAGGGTAAGATTCTGTAGTCCATAGAGAGTCAGTTAGTCAGGTGTCTGGGTAGGTCTACGTGGTGAGGAGTGGGACAACTTGTCGTGCACCTGAACACCATGGACGACTACCCCATGTACGGCTTGCTCGTGGGGTACTCCCTTTGGAGGACCCTTTGGCATTTCATTTTCCCACTGGGATTCTAGAACACATTTACGTGTAGGGTAGACACACGTACGGGGACGAGCACCTCGCCCTACACGGCCGAGCAAGAAGCCAAGGCCGCCGCCATTTTACAGGAGAGAAGAGAGAAGAAAGAGGCCAAGAAAAAAGCCTTGATAGAAGAACAGGCGGCGAAGTTAAAAAAGATTGAGGAGGAGATGACCAGCGAAAGAGAGGTTAAAGAAAGAAGAGGAAGAGAAGCTCAAGACGGTAGAAGAGGAAGAGGAGGTGGAAGAAAACTCCACTGGAAAGGCGAAGGGAAGGAGGAAGAGGAGAATCCAGTGGCACGAAAGAGGACCTAACAGAGAAGAAGATTACAACGTGGGTTGCTGGATTATCCCTGGGAGAAGATGAGGAGGCCTTAATGTATGTGCCCAGGGAGGAACATGAGGCGGCCATGAAAGAGTGGGATGCTGAAGAAGATCCACTCAAGCGGCAGGTGTTGGAAGATGAGAAGAGGATGGAATGGAAGTTTTGTTTGACAAGGGAAAGGAAAAGAAGGATGGAGGCGGCGAGCCAAGCGGCGAGAGAATTGGAGGAGATAAAGAAGCAGAGAGATCAGATGGCGGTGCAGGTGGATTTATTGGGGAAGATGAAAATTATGGCAAAAAATATAGAACGCTTGGCACAGATCCAGGAAGAACAGTTCCTATTTGGCAGAAGTCAAGACATTGTCGTGCGTTCAATCCGATTAGAACTCAGGGACTTCGCACGAGAACTGGCGACGCAGGTGGGCTCCGAAGTGAGGGCCAGCCTAGATAACATAGAGCGATATTGCACAGGCGCCATAGAGGGCGCCCGATTGACCGCCCCCAAAGACGAGGAGGTACGTCCTCGTAGGGAGCCAGTCAAGGTCAAATTTCCTGATTCCTACAGTGGGAAGAAGGAAGAGAACTTTGACAATTGGGAAGCCAA